ACGCAGCGTAGAGAAGAACGGAATTTGAAAGGAAGAAAGTGAGGAGCTCACCACAGTACAGCACTTCATCCCCAAACTATACGCTCGTCCGTCCCCTTCCCCATGTCGGTCCTACGAGCTGGATGTCGAAGGTCGTTATGACGAAACATCGGTGTCGGTGAATGTCACAAAGCCAGAGCCGTAACGGGTGGTGAGGTCGGGAACGCTGGTTGGCGTTGTGTATACAGCAGTATGTTTGCAAACGGTTGTTGCGGCACCCAAGGTACGAGGATCGCCCTATCCACAGGTGGTGAGGTCGATGAGGCACTATGGAAGAAAAAAACAAGTTAGCGAGGGCAGGGACGACAGAGTAAGCGAACGGCGGGTAGGAGCAATCTAATGAGGAATATGCGCTTCGTATTCTTGGACGTGGAAAAGTCGAAGTGTGGTGGAGAGAGACTCGGCGATGAGCCGCATTGCACTCAAAATCGCGAAAGATGGAGCAGAATCTTCTTACCTACGCAAGTCTCTCGCCAACGCCGCATTAGACTTGGCTGATAGAGGGTCCAACCCTACCCTACCGTACCGCAGCTTCGTGAGCAAACACTGAGACCATAAGAAAGAAAATTACACGCACCGTCGCCTCGAGGATTGGCTGAAAGACGCCAATCCTCGTAGACGAGTGGGGCGGCGAGGAGGCTCGTAGTATAACACATCCCGGAGCTCCTATAACCGCAGCTTCCAAGCAGCAAGCCTTCAGACTGAAAATTCTGAAAGAAAGTTTTCGCGACGAGAAAAAACTTTGAAAGGAGATTCTGAAAGCTCGAGTGGCAGCTCATGCCTTCGAGATATCGCAGGAGCAAGAGATCAAAAGATTCCAAATATCCAAGACCATCGAGGTTGGTTCACAGCACGCCCGCCACTTCAAAGCTCGAGCTCGTTGTGGTGGGCAGCGACAAGGAAGATGTGACAGGTCACGTCACTGTCACACACTCTCGACTCGACCACCATCTTGTTTTTTTGTACGGGAATCTTCAGGGCAATACTCTTCAAGCTAATTTGTTGAATCTTGGTGGAAATCTGGCTGGATGACACACATAGCCCGGAATCCTTGCTTTACCGCCTTTTTCGATGCAAGTTTCAAACTCAGTTCAGTTCTTCTGACTTCAGAACTTCTTCGCCGAATCGACTCGGATAATTCCAGTTCAATGCTCGACGTGCCTCCAGTTCTTCCTTAATCTTGCTGAAGTCGCATGTTTCCTCTTCACACCCTGCTTCCACTGGCACTCCGCTTACAAATCTGGACAACTTAGACAAGTCGACCACTCGGGCTGGATTCTATTCGTGATTTCAGCTCTTCAATTGGACACCCTACACCTTGTCTCCCTCGTTGAATTCACAACTCACGCTACTACAATTCGACTCAACGTTCAAATTTCTGACTACTGAATCGCTTATTTCATCGATAACGTCGTAGATATCTGAATATCTTCCTCACAAAAAACGTGTAAAGTGGGTGCTCGCTTGCTCATCGATAAATGACTGATGACCTTGAAGGGGAAATTTTCCTTTCAGAGGTTTAACGTACTCCCATCTACTCTTCTTCCCCGCAGATTCCAATTGAAATTCAAGATTAGGGAGGTCCGAGCTAGATTCAAGGCATCGGTTAGTGTGTGCATATCTGTGACTTTCTACGTCGCACGGTTACGCCTCGTTCCCTCTGCGTGTCTGCGGCACCGTCTCGTTTCTTGGATTTCTCAAACGGCTTTCTCTCAGTCTCGCCATGTCTATATCTCGTTTCTTCACCTCCAACGCCGCAATTTTAATCGATTGCGATCGGTTGTCTGTTGCTTCCCCACATCGCACCGCAACTTCCGGCTCCGAACCCTCTTGACACGCCTGAGAAATGCGGGGTAATCAGTGCTTGGCGCCGCCCTTCCCTAAGTTTCCTTCACAGCAACTTCTGCCTCAAGGCTCCTGACTCCGAACATCACAGCGAATTGGGAGTATGGGTGGTGCTCCTGTAAACAGCCTTGCTTATAGCAAAACACGCTGCCACGCACAATTCAAAACACTCCCTCCCATGACGCAGCACTAACCGATATTTAGGCTATCTCGACCTCAACAACGCTCCTCGAATCACATTCGACCCCTCCTTGCTTATCATACACGTTCGTATTCACCAATCGCACATTCCTCCCTTCTCTAAATCATTCCTATCCTCCGATATCCTGCCTACGCTGCCGTGTCCGATACACGCATATCTCCCACCACCACAGCTACCTCATTTCCACGCTCCCCGAGAACACAGTGGTGGAACTCGAAGAACCGTCCCAAATATAGCCCTTCTTCCTCTATTCTCTGGCTCAATGACATCGGCGTATGTCTCCGTGTCTGCTTCTTCTTCGAGAAGCCTGTCCGTCTCCCTCCAACCGCCTTAGCCGCTATACGACAGGCCACGCTGTTTCCTGCTGCTTTCTTTCGAGGGAGAAGGGTCATATCGCCATTCGCTGACGTCGTCTAACAGTCCTATTCAAAGGCGCGAAGGCACACAACGATACCGGGAACGCGCGAAATGAAAAGATAGAAGATGTGTAGGTCCATTGTTTGGGATCGGGAGACCGTATCGTTGAATTCGGCATCTAGACCCCTGGCGTCGTGCAAGGAATATGCCGATAACGTCGATTGCCATTATGAGCAGAAAAGAGCTGCAGATTCCGAGGGATGTGTCCCGGCAAGAGTCGGGTCGAGGCAGTCGTTCGTTCGTCGGTCTCAATATTCGATCATTTATTCGTAGCTGAATTTCTTTGCTTCAGGAACTTCGGACCGCTGAAATATGTCAACAAGAATCGCTGTCAAACCCGTACAAGCTGGTAAATTACTTTTAATCTACTTTGTTATCTTCAAACCGTTGCAACGAATTTGCAGATACAAAGACTGGGATACAAGACCCCGGCTGTAAGTTACCTTCAGCTTTCATCGACATACGAATCTCTCATTTATTCAATCTCCTTGCATACCTCAGGCACTCAGGACACTCTGGAATACCGCCGGCCTTTCCAAGTACCCCAGAAACCGATAAATCCCTACCATCATTGTTGAAACAATGAGCGTTGGAACGTTAAAACCAGTTTAACCACTGATTGATTCAAAGTGGTTTAAACGGGGAGGGTTGTTTAAACCGCGGCAATTTCAAAAAGCAATGCCAGCAGCAAGACTCGAACCGCTGACTCGCAAACCATCAAGAAAGCTATGGGACAGAGGATAACCACTACACCAAGAGAGCTTATAAAGGTCTGAATTTGAGATGCCTATGTAGTGTCACCTTCTTTGTTTTCGTAGTGACAACCTGCCACTTGTTCATTCCCCAACTAATCATCAACCCGGCCCTAAAGAGCGCTCCTGCTTTTCAAGGATACACTTATCATCGAAATTTCGTCAGTGAAGTTCAGCTTCCTGCTATGCATTAGAAAGCTGATCAAGCCCAATTGTATAAAATTTGAAGGAGAGAAACAAAAACATAAAGACAATTGTTTAATCATAGTTTAAACACGGATTAAACAAGTGAGCTTAAACACCTGTTTAATCCTCTTAGTGTTTACTGAATCTGACAAACACACCCGCTAACTTGAACCAGTGATTATGGCAACAACCTTGGAATAAGTAGGCTACTTGAAACCCTGGTACTATGCAAATGTATAAAGTCCATGGTGCATCTGCTTCACAAACTCCCACTTCTCACCCCAATCTCACTGAGTTGAATGACTTAACTGTTAAAATAAGGTCTTCTTGGTCTGATTGCAGCCGTGCCCAGACAGCACAGTTTCATGCCAGATCAAGGTTGTCTGGTGCAGTGGCATGGACTGTGTACACTAGTACCATTTGTGTTGTGCATTGCTGTGTTCGAGTCCCGGTCTCACACTTTTGTGTTTTGCTTCAGGTTTGAACACCCCTCAAAATGTTTAAACACCCCCCTCACCTTACCTTGCTCTGTACGCAGCTATGCTAAAATCAAACAGTAGTTAAACATGATTAATCGTTCCAACGTGGATTGTTTAAACAATGATGGTAGGGTTACTGGAAACCGGACGCATCCAACGTTCCTCAAATACGATACTTTCACTCGCAGTAGGCAACGAAACTCGGCGTCGGTTGTTTGTCGGGTATATCTCACGAGAGTGAGTGAGAGAATTTACTCTGTCTGTCATGGTTAGTGACTCCGAGTGCGAATGAAAGCAGGATATCTCTTACAGTGAGAGAATCATTATGATGAGGGTCGCGTCGTCGCCGAGATCTAGACAGAGGAAAGGAATTTCTGCGGAATAAGAGGTATAGAGCGACGTGGTTCGGTAAACCTGATGAATACGAGGGTATGCGACCCGTGACATCCTCGTTCGAATGCAATGGAGGGCCACTCCGGTTCTCGCACGATCGACATAGCGACGAGTCAATCGTACTTCGGGGCAAATATAAATTCCGAGTTAAAGCAGAAGAAAAAACTCACTACTGTACTTCCAGCGCATCCCGAACTAACCATAGGTTGTGAACCTTTGCTGGCGTAGCAACTTAGGTTGCGGAAATTCAGTCCAAGTTCAACGTATGAACTTGGTTCAACCGTGCAACTCGGAGCATCCATTTGGAAGTCCTTCATGTTGTAAAAATCACAGTAGGCACTTGTTCTTGAAGCCACCAATTGACAAGGCATTGAGTTGAGACGGACACTTGTCATTGGTTCATCCATTTCTCGTTGACCTCGCGATTCGATATCGCTCCAAGAGACGAGAGTCTGGTGGCAGTCAGACAGTCTACTGAACCAAGAAATTTCTATTAGTACTTAGACTACTCCACTCGGAATCCAATCACTGGGATCGAAGTACTTGCCCTTGTACTTACCCCTTGACGTCCGGAGCAGGAATGACACAGGTGGCTGGAAGAAATCTTGAGGTGTTTGTTTGCGGTCTGGCAATTTGAGGTATACCGCGTCCTCCAGACACGGTGAGTACAATTTCAGAAGACGGTCATGGGTAATAGTGTAGTTGGTTATCGCGCCCGCTTCGCATATTACGTGCCTATCACGTGATGTCTTTGCGGGAGGTGCTGGGTTCAATTCCCAGTTTATCCATGCCGTTTTGGTCCATTCTTTTGTCCTTGCCTTTTATTTCCCCCGTTTTTTTTCAATCTCCTTAGCATTTTTCCCTACCCTTGTCTGCCACGGATGCCGCCACTCCTCAGATCTGTTCGCCCGCCTGAGCCTCACTTACGGCTTCCCATCACATTGCACATGCTTGATGTCAAGTCATCAGATGCCATACACTCCTTTTTTCACCCACCAAGTTGCTGGGCTTGCGGACCGCCCACGTTAGATCACTCTAGTATGCGCCGCGTATCGCCATCCTCTTCATGCTCCCACATACTTACTCCCTGAATACTCATCGCTGACTCATTCCCGCACAGTGATTTGCAATTGGCGTTAGCTGGAGTTTGCATTTTCTTCCCCACACCGCTCAAGATTCGACGCTTCTGCGAGTCAGCCAAAGAATGAGGGACTTATGAACCCCATGGTTGGACTCATACGCTAATTTAAATAATACTCCTCTGTCCACATTGACAAGCCAGTAACCCTATAAAGTTTGTTAAACATTTCCTGTCTCAACATGTAATCGTGTTTAATCATTCCTTGATTAATCAGACAGGTTGGCGCGGTATATTGGCGGAAGCGAAACATTTTCGACCGTGTTTGTGAACTACTATAAGTCAACCCTTGAACACTGATAATCTCCGATTAACAGATCAAGTTGAACCGATAAACAGAGGAGCACATTGCATTCGAGCCGAGGTACTCCAAAAAATACGGGTTCGAGAATCCCGATTAATCACTGATTAACAAAACAAAGTGTATGATAGTTGCGAAGATGAAACAGAAACAAAATAAATTCTCTTTTTCAAGGCTTGCATGATTCACATTTGTTCAACTGTCAAATCTGGGATTAACCATGATTAACAAATCAGAACAGAACAGAAATGTTGCCCGGATCGCTCACAGTATTTCAATTCTTAGGCTTCATTGCCATCGGAATCGACCTCTACCCAGCCCTTTGGAAGCTTCGATCTCAACAGAAGATCAAATACCAAGAGCAACGATAATTACTAGCAATCTTACGTTCCATTCACGGCTCCCTTCATTTGTTTCTTCCCCGCTTTTGAACGGTTGTCCGCTGTAGTTTTGCTTGCCTTTCTCTTCGATTTTCGAGTTGCAGGAGGATCAATAGCAGAGTCCCCAGATTTTCTGAATATGATAATCAGCGGACTTCAATAAAACAGTACACTTGAAATGCATTTAACTGCTGGCTCGTTTCTTCTTCTGTGGTGGGCTTTCATCGACATCAGAGAGGTCAGATAAGCCTTCAAAGTCCCTGGTGCATTGGAATGAGCCCGGAAATCGCAAGGTAAAATCTGCATTACAACTTGCCTCTCGTCAAGCTTTCGTTTATCAACAGACTTAGGCTTTTCTTGCTCATTGACGGAGATGGTGACTTTGGACTAGGAGGCGGCACCGGTGACTTTGGACCGGGTGTGGGTGACTTCTGACGTGAGATCGGTTTCGGCGTGGACGGCAGCTCAGAATCCGGGGGAAGAGGGGTCTCGGATTCTCGAAACCGGAACGGGTTTGGGCTATCAATCACAGAGAATTTCAGTAGCTGGGATGTGAGGGTATGAACTTGATCAGTTGAAAGGTTTTGGGGATGATTCAATTTGATAGGGAAAGCGTCAGTGTCATAAAACTTCTCGGGATGCGAAGCAATGTCCTCCCAGGGTACCATGGTTACTGTGTTGTCAAGCACCCGAACAACTAGGATCGGACAAGGATCGGATCAGCTTTTGTTTTATTCTGGGATTGATCGCACTCACCCCAGCAATGCTCGAAGTACTCAACAAGAAGCATACGGATATCGGCAGTCGGAGTTGCTTCTAGACTAATACTGGGGAAAACGGGATGACCAGCAGTATTTCGAGGGATCAAGGGACTGTCTTTGATGGAATGCGGAAGTACCCTGTCATTGAATGCCCACCAAGCTTGTTCATATTCCGTTTGCAAACATCTTGATCGACTCCAAACTGCTTGTCATTATGCTTGGAATGAGCATGAATGCTTTCATTAGTTAGTAGTGTATTCCTGCTACGATTCAGAAAAACATTCTTACCTTCCTGATATCAACTCGTGATTCTGGCTATCGCGGAATCCGTAGAAAAGAACAATCTCCGCGTCCCCAAGTAAACCGCCTTGGCATAGATCCTGAAGAGCTAGACTGATAGTCTCAGGGAATTCTTGCTGATTCCTTTCCAATTTGACATCAGGGGCGCATCATGCTATGGATGGTTTAGAGTCAGCTTACTGTTGAATATTTCCTGCCTCGGCCTCCGCTCGGGCATTCCATCCTTCTTTATCATCGTCCGTGAGGGAGTCCCATTTGGTCTTTAGTAGAGTTTGGTACACTGCGGCGGGACTTTTATTATTCGTATCTTGCATGCGCTGTACCACTGCTGCGTTCAACGATTTGGAGTTCTCCCTTGCATAAAGTTGCCGGCCGCTAACAATGGAGGAAAACTTCATCATTGGATTCGCCTTCTTGGCCGAGAGGGCAGTCTTTTCAGTCGCAGGTTTATTCTTCAGGTAAACTTGGTTTCTATAGTTTGTAAACTTCCTGACGATCATCTACTGACATTGTTAATACCCCTTGGCTGAAACGAGACCTCGCACCTCAAACCAAGTTTTCCTGTTGTACTTTGTAGTATCCAGGTCTTTGAAAGCCTCGTGATCCAGAAGATCTGAAGCGGTTCCTTGTTTCCATGTAGTGAGCTGAGATCCAGTAATTCCTTCATCCAGTTTCTTGACGAATACCGGGAAGAAAGATTCAATCAGGTCGTCTTGAGCTCGGGTGAAAGGGCTCTTTGGCATTGGTAGAGTCAGGGAATCGGAAAAAGGTGGAGAGGGAGCGTGACCAATTTGAGACGGTTATTTAGTTTACAGCGGCAATATTGAGTTTCATAATTGACCCCTTGTTTCAGATGTGAAACAGATGGTAGAAAAACCGCCGACCCTGAACCAGGCAACAGGGTTTCGGATTAATTTTACCACACAAATAAATCCACTACATACTTGCTATCAGCATGGAATGAGTTGATTTTTCTGCCAGACAAAGAATGTTGAACAAAACTTAAATGGATCTGTGAGAATCAGTATTTGTATACTGCACAAAATTATCTTAGGCGATAGGTATAGGCCGTGAAATGTCTTCGAATAAGATTTGAACTGACCGGCAGCACTGCGGCATCTGTGCCGACAATTGATGAAGATCAAGTCAGGTCAAACAGGGTCATACAATCACACGCTTTGCCGTGAGCGCTTGTGCTCAAATCTTCTAGGGCTATTTCTGCTCCTCAAAATCAACCCATTCCAAGGTCCCCGCTTCTCACACTATCCAGCAAAGTGATGCCCGAAGCCATGCGCGAAAATCCCGGGCAATATCCCACGTCTGAATCATTCCGCCTTTCATTGCTTGACATTCACCATTGGTTCGGGGCACCGCCGACGTTAAACAAGGTTTTAGACTTGACTGCAAAATAGGAAATTGTGTGGTGCAACGGCGTTCGTTCCATTCTTCTCCTTGCTTCCGATGACCCGACCCTGCTCAATGTCGTCAAAATCCAGACTTCTGACCCTGTTTGAAGTTTATCCCTAGTCGGAACCACTGGTCACCCTGAGCAGTACCTACGCGGTCAAGCTGAGTTTCGGCATGCGATCCTTCATTAAATACCTCACAATTTATTGACGAATGAGCCCACATACCCTCTTTCCTTGCTTTCCTTCCTTCAATGCGCTTCAAGTTTCCTTTCTCTGACACCCTTGGATTCACTGGAGGAAAAGTCCAAAGACGTCGCGACATCAATCAGGCCCTCCGCCAATTACTCTCTTTTCTCAATCCTCTCCCTTACAATGCAGTTCTCTCTCGCGATCACCTTGGCCATGCTCTTGCTGGCGCTCGACAGAATGTAGGACACCAGGGATTGGACCACTTTGCGGGCTGGTTTCACTATGTATGTGGCTTGGCGCTTTATTCATGTCCCTAAATTGATTCACCCCTAATCCAGTGCGACGAAACTGTGCATGTAGATTGCAAGGAGCCATACCAAGCCATTACCCCAGCCCGACACGATCTTCTGCATCACCCAGAAGTGAAGAATCTTCTTCACGCTCGAGCTGAGGTCGCGCCAACCCCTAGAAAACCTGCATCCTACCCCAACTCGGTCCGCATCCGCTCTCGGTCTTCTCCCACCCCCTTGGGACGCAGAACTCGGTTTCAAAAACCCGTCTCTTCTATTGCTGGTTCTTCCCAACCTCGTTCCCATCCCCACACTCGCATTCGCAAAACTCGGTTTGGCCAGCCTCTTAATTCTGATGGAGGGGAGACGGTGTGTTCAATTGCATCTCTGTTCGCAACAGTCACTGACTTTTTTTCAAGTCTCAGACAGCTTCTTGGCCTCCCCTCTCTCGCCCTCCTATCTCCCCCATTGATTATAATCCCGGTACTATTTTCATACCTGTTACTGTCTCAGATACTGACAGCGCTTGCAGTATCAAACACGATTGCGTCCTCATCCAATCTTACACCTAAAGGAGCGAATAGCACAGGTAAGTAACAAGTTATTCTCTTTCTATCTCCCATTGACTCACCGGACTCTTGCAGTCAAGTCTTCCCCGATCAATCCGGTTGACCCCGAATTTCTCAAATACCGTGTGTATCCCTTGTCACCATTTCCTTCTGCTATAACTCAAACCTATTTCAGTTGCCGCATACGCATTTGGAAACACTACTACAACTCCAACCCGCGCCATCCAAACCGTTTCGAAACCGATTACCCCTACCTCTGCTAGTTCAAAGGCTCCTCATTATTCCCCGGACGGCTTCATTCTTAGACAGTTATCTCAAGCTAACTCTGAAAACCCATTTGGTAAGCCTTTTTCATTGTGCCTGACAATAGCTTATTGCTCTATTGAAGACAACGGACCGACTGCGAACTCTACAACATCATCTGCTTCCAACGTTATTGAATCTCCTCTCAC